CTGGACGACCAGCAAAGCAGCAAAAGAGCGCAGAAGAGCAGTTTACATAAACATGAGGCAAAGTGGCACACCACCTACTCACATCATGAGTGAACCCCGCAGACTGTTGGTTCCCACCACCCACTGAGCCAGGGAGTCACCCCAACGACAATCAGTCATCAACTGTAGGAGACACGGACATCCTGAACTTAGCAGCCCCCCCTAAGAGTGCCCCACACACTCCAAACGAGGAATGACCAACTATTTCGCACTGCTTAAAGGTGGTCAGTTAGGCACACAAAAACTACTTCGAGAGATACAGAAAAATACAAGGAAGACAGAGAAAGAATACAAAGAAGACAGCAACAGAAAAAAAAACAGGAAGAATCCAAAGAAAGGCATACATAAAGAGGAGTGTGTGTGTGTGTGTGTGTGTGTGTGTGTGTGTGTGTGTGTGTGACCGACTATTTGGCACTGCTTAAAGGTGCTCAGTTAGGCGCACAAAAAGTACTTAGGAAAATACTAGGAACATAGAATGTAAAGAAGACAGTAAGAGTGAAAACAGGAAGAATCCGAAGGCAGACATACATAAAGAGGAGTGTGTGTGTGCGTTTTGAATTTTCACCACAACAGCCCCTATTCCACCCAGATGAACAGATCCAAAATCAAAGCATATTTAATCCTTAATCCTATTACAGACAATGAAAGCCCTGGAGTTCAGACAGCCCAACAATGAAACAGTTTCACCTCAACAGCAAGGAACGTGGAGTACAATAGCTGCATGTAAACCCCTTTCATTTGTTCTTACAGCTCCCCCTTTACCGTGCCTCTCATGCACAAGGCTCGCCATGTTGATTGTGGTTGCGCGCGAGCTGCCCACATCCCCGTGTGCCATAACGGCCCACTTGCACACTATGAAAGGAGGCAGAGCAAAGGCGGAACTGTTCATTTCTTCTCAGATCTTCAACTTGTCTGTTCCCGTAATGATGCTCATTCGTATGTATTACTAGTAATACACAAGAGTAGTGAGGAAGGAAATGGGAGGTGGAGTTCTGACAGGGTTCTAAATAGTGACCACTGGGGCAGACCACTCTAGAATGGCACATGAGGCCAGTCATTGTGTGGGTTGCATAAGATTTGAGGAGCCGTTGTTGCCTATGGTAAGCGGCCACCTCTACAGACTGGGCAGGACCGTTTTGGGTGTGGGCTGTGGAAGCACCGCATCCAATTCTCACAGTCACAGTTACTGCATCGAATGGCACGGCGCAGACATATGTCACAGGCTACATGGCTCTTACATGCTATGAACACAGAGGCACATCGACCGCAATTGTAGAGGCATTGCCGTTCCAGCCCCTGTCTACAAATTAGACATGACATGTCAGGGTGCCGTACATGGGTGCGGTATAGACTGTCATCATACATATGACGACAAAAGCTCGCCCGGGCTATCCCTTCACAATCCTCACGGCATAAGGCATGCGAACCACATGCTAGCTGAATCTCTGGTGGGTCATCACAAAGCGGCATGGAGCAAGTTTCTTGGGTTTCCTCATATTTATTCCTTCTCTATGGGTTGACGACGGGGAAGATTGATCCAAAGCAAGGGCGTTCAGCTGCTGCAGGATTTGGTCTGCAAGAGTTCGCCCTGGTGGAGACAACCTGTCAGTACAGCGCCCTGTAGGTGGCTCATATGGTAATCTGTTTTCCTTCTCAGGCTGCTGTGCCCGCCGTTCATCAGGCAAGGAATAAGGAATTCCAACTGCGGTTGCTGTAGGTGTGTGGCCAACACCGCATGTGGTACATGCTAGGAGAGGATATGGCGGATGATGGCACCGGGGGATAGTCCACACAGTAAAGACACATTCTTTCTATGACAGCTTCCTGGAAACATTGACGGCACATGGCATGTTGCTGGCAAGTTGTACTCCCTGCCACTGACATGCTCCATGCTCCATGCTGCAGCTCTCTCTCTCTCTCTCTCTCTCTCTCTCTCTCTCTCTCTCTCTCTCTCTCTCTCTCTCTCTC